ATTATTGTTTACATACGTTTAAATGCGTCAAGCATACAATAAATTATAGATTGATAGTACCTGTGAGGTACTTAGTTAAAGGTATTTCTGTCCAAACTGTAAGGACGGAAGACGATTAGCGCTCACTTTAAGAAATCCTACAAATCCGCCATTTTCTTGTCCACCTAAAATGGCGCTTCGGTTCGCAAGGTACGGCGGGTGGTTATGATTCTTTAATTTTTCTAAACTTTATTCAGTGCATAGACAAAGCCCTCCAAGCAATTCGACCTTTCAAATCAACATTCAAAATCTACGAGGCCAGGAATCCCAGTCTTGACTCGTGGTTTGGTGCGCGTAAGTGGGCGAGTAAAGCGTCCAACCTGACTCTAGGGAGCATATCTAAACACAATTATGAAGAAATGGGAGCAGATTATTTAAAAGAACATTTATTATCTAATTTATTCGTTCCTACTCCGCTAAACAATCAGTAGTGAAAAGAGAGGCCTTTGAAAGCTCACCACACGGTTTAKCCATCGAAATTCAGAAAATCTATCTTCACAATAGTGTAGCCTTTTAATGGAATTWAAAACCACGGGATCTAYTAGGCACAAACGAAAAGACATMAACTGTGCCTTTTGAAAAATATAATCCCTTTGAGGTCCAACTCGCTGGTTTGTCTCAATTAKTACAATAACTTATTTTAATAAAAAATATATAGTATATAGTATGAAATAGTAAGTCCTTGCAAAGTGCTCTCAAAAAGCAATCGTTTTGTTTTACCGTTTTGTAGTGCCACAGTACGCCWTCTATTTACAATATTTACTGAATTAAAAGTATCGATCTGCGACCGCTTCCGCTCCAACACTAGAAACGGCATCATAAAGTTGCTCCACAGACCAGTCGCGGCAATGCTCATTCAGTATTTCTAGAACAGGATTTTTCTCTCTGTCATTTAAAAATTCAACATCGACGTGAGATAATCCTACTTTCTCCTTAGCGAAAGCCTTCCACTCATCTTTTTTGACTGAAAAGAAAAATTAAAGAGATTATGATATTGCCAATAATCASTCCATAGTAATGCGCTCTAATCCATGTTGATAGTTGTGCTTCAAGTGTGCTTCAAGAAATTTCAATTTCTCTACACAGACCCGTCTGATAAGAGGTAATGAAAAACCGGACCTCAACAGCCTCTCCTCCGTCCCCTCCCCAAATGTATAGTCTTACCYGTTAACTCTTTTGATAACTGAGTTTTTGTCGCAGAATCCATGTCGCATACTTTAACATCATATCCAACTCTCAAAGGACCTAATGAATACACAAAAATGATGTGTGAGGCAATAYCTTCGCACAACAAATGCATTCACACAACTTTTCGTGCAATGAAWAACAATGACTATACATCAATAGTAATCTGAAAAGTGTRAAGTTTTACATTACTCAAACGTTCAGGGCTGGAAGTAAAAATTAAGTAATGTTTACAACATRAGCGGCCGTGTTGTATGGGAATTACAATCTCGAGCCGCCGGATAATATAACTGCTGAGTTTAGTCGCTATTAAGCATGCGCAATTTACTGCAACACAGAACATTTTGAATAATTATTCATCACACATGGAAAGCAAGCCATCTGTTGCATAAGGGAGTTCTGTTATCTGTYTTTGACTGCTTCAAAACCTAGTGAAGGTCTATGATGCGATACTAAAGCTGAGACCTTTGCTAGTGTTGGGTTGTCTCATTGGTGACGACTGTGTTGTAAATTTTATACAACACTAGTGTTGTATCAGGTTTACAAGGTCAATCACCAGATTAAATGGACAGCCCTTGCTGTTGATTGAGATAGATGATAATGATAGTAATACATGTGGTAGAAGTCAACCAACCTGTCATTCCACTGGGCAGCTTATTTCGTAAAGCTTCTGCAACAACCTCTCCTCCTTGAGCAATCAACCGTCTGCAGCTAGTCCTACATTTCTGTATGATATCTTTGGGTGGCATGGCTGTGCTATGTTTGTCAAGGTTTAATATAATAGCGACTTTCTCAGCTATTCTAGTCGCCTCGTCCTGTGAAATCGTCGTCAGGGAGATTTTATTGACATCAGCAAAGACTTCCTGGCACAGAGCGTCAACTGTATCAATAAATGTACAAAATCAATTTTTGAATGAAAAATAAGAAGTAGATAACACTTATAACTCGAATTGATGGCATTTTTTTACAATTGTATTCACAAGGACTTTTCAAGCTTTCAATTGAGGCTTACMTTCTGAAGCCAAATGAAGGGCTTGAAGCTGCTCCTGTGCTTCCTTCACTCCAGCAGCCTAAAATACGACGTAACGCATAGTCAGCTATTCTACCTCACTCAGGAAACTCTAGTTTCTATTTTTTTTAACTTACTTTATTGTCTTTTCTATCAAACCAGTGTGAGAAGCTGGAATCTAAAATTTCGTTGTTTAGTTTTGTAGGGCTCCTGCTGCAACGCGTTTGAATTGTGCTCAACAGTTCTCGTTTGGAAACAAAGTGAAAACAAGAGCCTCGAGGACAGGCTCTCTTGCCGTGCTTTTTACAAGGTGCCACGTCTTTACAAACTGGACAACAGATGCCAAATTCAAGCTCCAACCTTCTCATCCAAGGGAATGACTCAATCATTTTCTGTAGTGTTCTCTCGAGAAACTCCGTTAGCCATTTGCACAGGTTGACGAAAAAGCCATTTCTATTATTGCTTTTTGTTTTGTCGTTGAACAGTGCAACTCTGATTGTTTGCAAATCGGATTTTAAGACCAGGCTAAACGCACACTTGTCATCAACAATATAAAATCTAATAAAGCAAATACAAAAGTTTATGATAAAGACAGTTCTCAAAGAAACCTGACTTTGCTGTGTTCAAGAATAACAGAAAAGGTTCAAAGCCAAAAACTAAATCTTTTGAAGGTCGAGCTACAAGTCCGAACCATTTGCGACATCGAAATTGTATTAAAACTTCAGGAAACATACCTTGCAAAGTTTTTGGAGAGATGAGGTGGAGACGAACACGGCCATTTTGAGTTGCACATCTTTTCGACGAGAACTAAGAGTCGTGGGAAAATGGCGAAAGGCAAATGTGAGCAATCAAATCTTATGACTAATGGCGGAGCCAAGTTATCTGCTAATGCATTTGCTTTTTCTTCACTTGTGTTCATCAACATAGCTGGAACAAGATAACTCGTGCCTCCATCTAATTGCTTCCAATTGCAGATGAGTGAGNTATTTCTAAGGCTACGTATTAGAAACCACTGACTTACTTGCTTCGGCTATCAGGCGAATGTCCACTTGTGCTGAAGGCTCAAAGATGTCTACCAAAGCTGTTTTATAGGTGGCCTCGCAGATGTAGAAGTACGGAGGAGAGTCAGAGCTCATTATCACATTGTGTATTTCGTGAGGACATTTAGCACTTTGGTATCTGCTTTTTTGCTCATTTGACGCTTTTTGGTCCGGTATAACGAAAACCTTGTATGAAGAGTAAAATACTTTTCAAGATTGGAGCCCCACAATGTCAGTGGGGTCCGAGTTACATCGTCTAGATGAATGGCACCTCGGATAATTGAAGTGCAATCTTAMCTACCTTAGAATGGTAACAATGCAAGAATACACTGCCATGATAAGTGTGAATACTGCTATTTCATTTCAGATCACTTCAGTTTGATAAAAAGAAATATTCCCTTACCTTTAAGCGTAATTCAAAACAAGAAGGAGTTAAGAACGTCATTTCATGTCGCCTATAACGAGGACCTGTTTGTTCTCTTGGAGAAAACCATTTGTCCAATCCAGTATGTTTTTGTTCTGTCGCATTCAAGCCACTGGAGAACCTCAAGTTCCATTTAGTTTCATCGGGAGCTAAATACTCTTTCGGCACGACATGACTTTCTATTTCAGGTAACGTGTATTCCTTTCCTTGAACTAAAAATATTTGTACATGTCAACAATGTGAAGTTGGAATTTTGATGTTTTGACAAATCTTTTTATGTGCGCACATTTTTACAATAACTTTTATAGTGTAACATAGCCTCCCTAGGCAACTCTTTTTTTCCTCCTTTGGAATTCCTGCTGACGAGTCACAAACTTGATGTATTACGAAACAATCAAGAAGCAGATCTCATGACAAGGAAGGGCATACTARGATTTTGGGCGTATAAATAATTACAGATTGGCAGGCGTTTGAAACTCGAAAAAATAACATGAAACAATGTATGGACAGTKTCRAACAAAAACAYCATTTCACTCTCATTTTTGCAAATTTWAAACAATTGTTGCTCAGTTAATATAGTGAATAAGTGAATTTTGGAAAGGCTAWTAAAGTACGCGTCTTCTTAAGCATTGTATTCAAGTCTCTATTTYAACCAACCTAGAATGTTGCAAATGTTTTATATTTTAAAACATTGTATGCATACCATCYGGGCAGTTCCRTATGTGGATTCTTCCAAAATGACACCAGACATTAAGGCTACGATTTTTTTTATCTTCATATTTCCGCGAGATATTTAGTAATTCTTGATAAAGGCGGTTGAAGTTTCCGGTGCTAGTACTGTCCTAGAAAACATAATAGATATGTAATGAACACATATGGGTAACAGCTTCATTTTAATAGAAACTGCTCGTTTCTAAAAGATRGCCTCCTTCCCTCCTTGCCCTTTTGGGTGTCCTTCTTGGCCAATAAGGAGGCTCTGGAGCCTCCCTCGGTTATATGAGCAACACAGGAGGTCCAAGTGTTAAAGACACCTGTGGAGAACCTCACCAATGACCTATATTACCTCATTACTTGATGACTTTAAAACAAGCCTCGAAATATTTCCATTAGTACTTTCAATTGGCTGGAGCACGAATGTTCCTTCTTGGGCGTCAACACAAGGGAAAAAGGTCATTTGTAGTCCTCTAATCTTCAACTGTCCTTTGCTCTGCAATGGCATGGTAGTGGTTGATTCATTCTTATTTCATTCTTCAGTTAGTCAGTCTATTCATTGAATATATAGGCAACACAATCTGCGACAAGCTACAAAAGTTCTTATTTGTCTTAGTCCCTATGGTTACAGTCACTGTTTTCACTGGCTGTTTTTTTAGTGTATCCTCCGTTTAATTATTATTCTGATTATCCCCTAAATGGACCTTTTACTTCCATGGGGGAGGGGCACGTGCACCCTGCGCTCTYCCCCACTCTTTCCCTGTTAAGGTTTTTGAAACTGGAAAGAAAATATCTCTGAAATCGTRAAACATTCACGACTTACACARMYGAAGCAGATCATCCAACTAACAAAATGAGTAACTGGGAAATAGAGAAACAAGCAGTCCGCAATCTGTGAAACATACAGAACTACCTACCGCTTGCATTTTAAGTCTCGWTTTCGCCTGGTGRCGGTTTTCCTCTTTGCCTTGAATTAAAATGTACGTTTGTTCATCATCTACTGTTTCTGTTCTGATAAAAGTGTTTGTCTCCTCCATAATTTTGTTTTTTGTCTTGCCTCCGCTTCCAATAGCGTGACTAATCAAATACTGAGGAATGTAAATCTGTGTTGTTCCACTGCTAAGCAGTTCCACTGTATTTTCAATTTTCAATTTCGCCTGGCGYCGGTTTTTGGCTTTGCCTTGAATTATAAAGTATGTCTTATCATCCAGTCCGCTTTCTGATGTGATATAAGTTTCCGTGTCAGCCTTTAGTTTCTGTATTCTACGGCCTCCGTGTCCAATGATGTATCCAATCATGTTTTTAGGAATGTCATATAGAAATGTTTCTCCAAAATCGTCATCATCCTTGAAATATAACAAGGAAAATAATATATCATGTCTAACACTATGGAAAACTACCAACCGAAATAATTTACAAAACAGAAAATACAAATGATTTTTCATACTTCGGAGTTATAGTCATCCATGTCAGTTGCCATTTCTAGAGTCAATTCAGGAGGTCAGACGGTATTCACTGAACTGATCGAAACCATCTTTTGAAACGCTTCAGTGGCGGATCTAGGCACTTTTTAGGGGGGGTGAATTGAAAGATTTGAATATATACTTTGACAAAAATCAAAATAGTTAAGGCCGTCTTTTTGGCTTTGTTTTTTACGTTTTGAACTTAGTGCGGTGTTTAATAAAATGCTCACAGTATATATATATATAATATCTATTCCAGAGAAAATAAGGATGCATCAAAAACAGAAAATTAAAATTATTTGTTACAAAAATAGTTGATAAATAGATTCCATCGTTACTTTAACGAGACTTTGAAATAATACATCTTATGCGAAGAAGTCATCATTCTTCTTGGGTGGAGTGCCATAAACCGCTCACTGATTTTATTGTTGTCTAGATTAATAGCATTGCCATGCATTGCAATAACGGCAAGGTTTGATAATCTCTCGGTCGTCATCGAATGTTCGAAGCCATGTGTGTATTCTTCGAAGGCAGGAGAAGGATCTCTCTGCCTCGGTACTACCTATAGGTAATACTGCCAGAATAATCAACAGTTACCTGACGTTTGGGAAAAATTTCTTGTCAGCATGTTTGGCCAAGAGCGAGGTAACAGACATACTTGTAGGCAAAAACTCTTGGCGCTTCCAGTAATTCACCCATTGTATTATCTCGCTCTCAAAAGTCGAGGGCACAGGTAACACATGTTTCCATTTTGCATAGAGAACCTTACACACTTCCATGACACTGTCAGTGGTCTTAGAAACAATTGCCTCAGGGATCAATGAGCATAGCTCAAAATGTGCCCTTTTATCGTCACTAAATCGGCATTTCATTTCCGAACAAATCACGTCTAGGAAGGTATTATGACCGTTCGCTTCCAATATGCGTGCACTGTTTCCGCTGTTGTATTTTCTCGGTTTCTCTGTCGTTGGCAAACTCTTGGTCGCTGTTCATTAGAACCAACTGTTCTTGCCAGAGATAATATCTTGTCATATAAAGGTGCAAACCAGGCGTCGATTTCTTTGCGTATGTCCACATATTTGGAATTGATTTCTACTATTTTCTGGAAACCAAAATAGACTTCAACATAACGTCCTTGCCAAGAGAAGATACCAGAGGTTGCATTGGCTCTAGCATTTCTTTAGCACACAGGAAGCTGACAATGAACCCGAAGTCAGTCATAGTGTGTCGTAGCCCATTGGCCATAGCCTTTGTTTTGCCGTCCCTAACCTGAGTATCAGGCCTTCGAGGGGGCCTTCCGTTTTTCCCCCCGAAAGCCTGATACTCAAGTTATGCCGTCCCAGGACCATTCCTCGTCATTTGGATAGAAACGCACATCGTTTGTGGGCTGACAGATCTCATTTAAAGTTATGACAATGTACTCGTACAAGTCAAAGATAGTTTCAAATGATGTATGTCTTGCAACCCATCGTGTCTTACATAAGTCTTTCATCAAAATGTATGTCATCATCGCGATGCCCTCGCAAGGGAATTTGTTGCTTAGAGCACAGGAGGACGGCGCCAAGGATAGTCAGGGGGCCAGGGCCAGAATTATTTCGAAAACGATGGACGGCTTGATATAAAATTTTAATGATTATCAATGTCAAGGGGGTTGATTCAAGTATCCGAAAACTGATGTTGGACTTTCCAGGACTCTTGCACAACATCGTGGCAGACCATAATATTGGGACTACATATGGTAACAAAGAGGACCCATTTCTGATACATTTTGTGGTTAACTTTAACCGTTTGCCATTCAGAATGCTTCGAAACATTATTTATATTTGCATCTAGACAGTGTTTGGAAGGTAATGGATTTATTTAATATCCAACTTGATCATTAGTTATCTGTCTCAGTTGCCATAGCAACCATTTTAACATATAAAACCAAGCTAAGTATGCCTTATATATAGCATCTAAGATATATATACTCAAATACACCTAATACTTATCTGAACCTTTCTTCCTTTTAAAGGAAGCATTTTCTCAGTACCTTGTCAGTTTTATAACGATAACTGGTTTCCATAGAAACCATGTAATACTTGTATATATATGACTTTCCTAATTGTTAAACAAGCAATAATTCATATTTTAATGAAGCACTTACGTAGTTCGACTGAATTTTAACACTTTTATAATTCTCTTTTGTTATGTATACATCACTGCTAGTGCCACCTTAAAGATTCCTTATATGCAGCTCATGAACCTTCAAAATAATAGATTTCTCGACTGAAAACAACTTACATTTTTACTTGTATTTATATATTGAGATATTACAAGATGTATGTAAGTCTGTTCCAAGGCCATGTCTGTCCATGTGCCATTGAACTTTCCTTCTGTGTTAAATTGTATATAACGTTTTTTATCCACGTAAACAGCAACTGTTTTAAAAAAATCCCAGCTAAAATGGGGGGTGGCTAGCCACCCTATTCACCCCCCCTAGATCCGCCCCTGCGCTTGTTTATTTTTGAAACTGAAAAGCATCACTGGTTTATACACATTTGTAGACTCCTTAATCCCAGCCGTTTCCTGCGTTTAAAAACATATATAACGAAAACGTTTATTATGATGCCTTAAATCTTGCTTAGACAAGACAAAATGTATTAAGATGTATGCATCTTCGTTATAAATCGGTACCTAATCGATACGAAAGAATCCAAGCACGATCGTGATCCTGGTGGCCCTTCAATGGCTTGTGCCTATCAGTCAAAACAAGCTTCAGGTTTTCCTGTCGCCAATACATCGAAGAGAATTCAAATTCCACGTATAGTTCAGACTGTAAACAKATTTTTTGCCACTTATACCATACAAACGAAGTGTTTGTAAGAAATGTTTTTGACCCCCCGCGAATTTCTTGGAATACCCGATCTTATGTTTGCTTGCATATATTTAAAACACAGGAAGCCCATTGTGGGAAATGGTAAAGATATTTGGAAAAGAAATTTTTCCATGAACTTCAGTCAAAATGACTTGTATCTTGTGTCAAAAATAAAAACAGACTTCAAATACCAGATACATGGTTTTCACGTTTTGGACACTGCACTCCTCTGCCAAAATTGGCTGGATTTTTTAACCGTTCCTCCAATAGTCATCCACGAGCAGGATAAAAACTGATCAAACTCAGAAAAAATAGACAGAATAGTTCGTTCGGCGAAGTTCGGCGCTACTTCGGTTTTGATCGAGGAGTCTCGAAAGCATTTCGGGGAAATTCCGAGTCGCATYGGTTTTGAGCGAGGAGTYCCRAAAGCTGTTCGATGAGGTTCGAAGCTTGTTCGGTGATTAAGGTTCTTCCGCAGTTTTTCCGATTTTCTTTCAACAATAAACCAACTGTATGGAGTGTTGTTTGGAGTGATGTTCTAGTGTAGAGCTATATCAGGAGTCCATGATTTTTCTATTGATGTTGTTAAACAGTGGCGGATCTAGGGGTAGTGCGACGGGGTCCTCTGCACCCTTTTTTTGTTTGTTTGTTGTGTTTTTTTTTTTTCAGCGCCATTATTTTTAATTTTAATGTTTTAAGGTTTATATTTTTGAATATAAAGAAAAATATAATTTTTAAATTTTGATTGAAAAGATTACAGACGTTTTGTGTTGTGTCCTGTTGTTATAGCTTGTTTTTTGGCGTCGTATACTGGTAATTTGCGAAGCCAAAGTATTCCAAACAGTTCGAGCCATCACCATTCCCCGACCAACTGGATGGACTACCTGTGTTGAAATACAGCACGCATGCGTAGTCTAGGTATGGTCTTGTCAGGTGACATCATATGACGTCAATATGACGTCATAGCAATCTATTTCCTGATCTAGATCCCGTTTTGAAAAACCCTGGATCCGCCACTGATATCGAAATCCACATGAATGAATTGTAGAGTCCCTGAGATACTGTTCGAACCAGCTTCTGTAGGACTGGAGCAAGCTACACTGACACTATAGACTTTGTATTGGGACACTATTCCCCTGAAAGACAGAACTCGCTTGTACAGGTATGTGGCTCTACCTTAAACAGGATTTCTAAATCACTACTTGAAACAGGTCTTAAACCTGAGAAACTAGTTTGCGAGTATTAACAATTCTGAGGGACTTACTTTTATAAAGGTGTAACTTGACTGGTATGAAAACACTTGAACATTCGCAATCTTCTGATCCGTAGCAAGTTTTATCCCTACTTCTTCGACCCCCTCCCCTTCCGTTTTCCCCCTTCCCCCCTCCCCTAGAGCCGCCACGCAGGCTATCTTACTGTGGTCATTGGCTCACAAGTACGCATCGAGTCCCTGAGTTTAGGGACGAAGGTCGCTTTTGAAACTAGAATTTTGAAGGTCTTGGGTTCGAGTCCAGTCATCTTTCCCCCTATTTAATATATCGCAAACCTTTTTCTTTGACATTTACTCAAGTTTCTTATGTTTTTTCAGAATATCTTTTTAACTGGCGGAAACACTATATTCCCAAACTTTACTCAGCGCTTAGAGAAAGAGCTCCGGGCGATTYGACCTTTCAAATCAACATTCAAAATCTACGAGGCCAGGAATCCCAGACTTGACTCGTGGTTTGGTGTGCGCGTAAGTGGGCGAGTAAAGCGTCCAACCTGACTCTAGGGAGCATAACTAAACACGATTATGAAGAAATGGGAGCAGATTATTTAAAAGAACTTTCATTATCTAATTTATTCGTTCCTACTCCGCTAAACAATCAGTAACGAGAAAGGAGGCCTTTGAAAGCTCACCACACGGTTTAGCCATCGAAATTCAGAAAATCTATCTTCAGTAGTATAGCTTATTAATGGAAAGGTCACCCCACGGAATTTAGAACCACGGGAGCTATTGGCCATTTCGAAACTCAAAAGGAGACTGGGAACGAGTGTGAAAATATTACTTTCATCGAATACTGAACCTCACCACATGAAAGACCACACTAAAATAAGKGTTCTTGWCAAGTYTGAGCATATTTGGTTGWATACTCACCGAGTAGGAATTTTTTCAAATTTGTAATAATAAAAGATCAGAATGTATTTTCGGGGACGCTGCTCAAAACCCTCCATACATTCTTTGTAATTTTTTCGAGTTTTAAAAGCTTGAAACTCTGTTATAATTAATTCGAATACTCTCAAACTCAGCAGCTTTGCTAATTTTAGTATGTTCTCTCTTGTCCTGGTGTCTGTTTTTTGATTGCTTCAAACGGTATCGAGTTTGTGACTAGTCACCAGTCTCTTTTTGAATTTCGGAACGGGCAATTGGTCACAAACCACAAGACATAAACTGTGTCTTTTTAAAAATATAATCCCTTTGAGGTCCAACCCTCTGGTTTGTCTCAATTATTACAATAACTTATTTTAATAAAAAATATAGTATATAGTATGAAATAGTAAGTCCGCCTTGCAAAGTTCTCTCAAAAAGTATTTTAAATACCGTTTTGTAGTGCCATAGTACGCCTTCTATTTACAATATTTACTGAATTAAAAGTATCGATCTGCGACCGCTTCCGCTCCAACACTAGAAACGGCACCATAAAGTTGTTCCACAGACCAGTCACGGCAATGCTCATTCAGTATTTCTAGAACAGGGTTTGATTTTCGTTTGTCCAAAAATTCAATCTCGTCGGGAGATAATCCTACTTTCTCCTTAGCGAAAGCCTTCCATTCCATTTCTTTGGCTGAAAGAAAATCAAAGAGATTATGATATTGTCAATACTCAGTGCAGGATGATGCGCTCTAATTCTCTAATTCACGCTAATAGTTGGTACGCTTTGTTTCTGCACAGACCAGTCTGATATTCTTGAAATTGTGACATTTTGATATAATCTTAACGAACTCTTATTTGTTAATCTCTCACCTGTTAATGCTTGTGAAAACTGTGTTTTTGTCACAGAATCCATGTCGCATACTTTGACATCATATCCAATCCTCAAAGGACCTAATGAAAACACAAAAACGATGAAGCAATAACGTATCACAGCCAGACTTGTACCCAGTCGCTTCTCTTAAGCGGCGCACAATGTATCAAGGAAAGGGAGAAGGAAATTATTTTTTCTTCCGACTTCCCTTGGTCCTTTGCGCACGCCAGGGAAAAAAAGAGAGTAACGACTAGGTCCATTTCTGTACCACAGCAAGACGTACAACAAATATATTTATTGCAATGAATAGCAATGAATAAACATCAAAAGCAATCTGAAAAGTGTACAGTAACTAGTTAAACTCTTTTACATTGTTCAAACGTTCAGTGATAGAGGTAAAAATTAATGATTGATGATAACAGATGTGGTGATGATAACACAAAAGATGCCATTGATAGTGATGATGAAAATAGTAATAGTGATGGTAATGGTCTACCAACCTGTCATTCCACTCGGAAGCTCATTTCGTAAAGCTTCTACAACAACCTCCCCTTCTTGACCAATCAACCATTTACAGCTAGCCATGCACTTCTGTGTGATATCTTTTGGTGGAGGGGCTGTGCTAGATTTGTCAAGGTTGAATTTATCAGCGATTTTCTTAGCTATTCTAGTCGCCTCGTCCCGTGAAATAGTCTTCAGGGAGATTTGATTGACAGAAGCAATGACTTCCTTACACAGAGCGTCATCTGTACAAAGAAACATATAATATGTTTTAATAATGATTTTTTTAATATGCCCTCGCCTCATGACACTAATTAAATTAAATATGGTTAAACCCTTCTCACAGTTGTTTATTTTTACGATAGTAACTTAAACTTGGCAAAGAACCCTTAATAATTGATTTTCTATAAAAATAACCATAATTGTACCTATTTCTGCTATTTGATTTTATATGAGCCAGATCTTTAATGAGATTACAATCTCAGAAAAAAAGGATTTTGCGACCTTGGTATATACTTTAATTTACCACTTGCATGTGATGTAAAATCGAAGCAGCTTGGAGAGACAAAATGAAAGATTTTTTTGCCCTGTTGGTAACTAGAATACATGGTTGTGTCAGGTACATTGCCTGCCCAAGCGTCCCACACACCCTTCACAAAAGAGTTACCTTCTGTTGAAGTTGAAGCCAAGCAAAATCCTTGGGATTGTTTTTGTGCTTCCTTTGCTTCAGCAGGCTAAAATAAAAAAACACACGATAATAATACTACTCTGCGAACAGAGCTACTTTTCTCACCCGCCGAGAAGCAGTTGAGAAAAGTAGCTCTGTTCGCAGAGAATAATAATACATGACATTCTTCTAGAATTTCTAATTGCAGAACAATCTTACGTTGTCTTGCTCGCGAAACCAGTGCAGATAGCTTGAACCTGGGATAACGTTCCTCAGTTTTGAAGGACTCTTGTTGCAACGAGGTTTAATATTTTTCCGCAATTCCTTCTTTGATACAAAGTGTACGCACGAGTCTCGAGAACAGGCAATCTTGTTGTGTTTAGTACAAGGCGCAGCGTTGATACAAACCGGACAGCGGATACCAAAATCAAATTCCAAGTTTTTCATCCAAGGAAATGATTTCATCATTATGTGTAAACGTTCGTCCAGAAATGTCAATATAGAGGCACACAGTTGGTCGTCTCGATCATTTCGAAGATCTTGATTGATCAATGCAACGGTAATGGTTTGCACATTGGATACGAGGACCAGGTTGAATGTGCCATCAACAATATAAAATCTGAGAAAATATAAAGTTCAAAAAAAATAGATAGTACGCTTAACTTTGTACTTTTTACAACTTTTTTCGCGTGACAAATGCAACAAAAGTTCAAACTTGCATTGTGTAAACAAAGTCATTACATATTTCAGCAAAGCAAGCTTTTTCAAACAGATTTACCTCGCAAAGTTTTTCGATAGATACGGTGGCGAAGGATCTGGCCATCTCAAGGTGCACATTTGTTCCACAGCTATTAAGAGTCTTTGAAAAACGCCAAAGGGAAGGATCGAGCTCTTGAATTGAATTACCAATGGAGAAACCATTTCATCGACTTCTGCTATTAATTCGCTGCTTTCTTCAGTGTTCAACAACATTGCAGGAACCAGATATGATCCATCTTGCTGTTTGCAGATGAGGGAGAACTCTTCCATTATATGTACAATGACGGACATGCGCCTGTCGTCGTTTAAAAGGTCTTTCCAGAGGTGCTTGAGAAACGTCTCATCAACTATTCCCTCATGTTCCAGTTTCCTCCACTCGTGTCTATACCCTTCATGATACTGGATTCGAGGAACAGTTATTACTTTTGCAAACACGTCCAGCAGCCATTGTGTATCAATTATAATCATGTCGATTTTTTGGAAATAAATGATCACTTTCAAGTCATGCAGGTATTCCAAGAGAGTGTCGAGTTCATCTGATTCAACATCTACTTCATTTTGTAAAGCAATGGCTTTGGCTTCTTCATGCGAGATGTATTTCTTCTGCTCTTTTTTAACAACACTCATGAGCCTTTTTTCAAAGAGCAACCAGCGAATGGGGACATCTTCATCGAGTTGAGGAAGGCTTCTCGCTTTGTTAGATAACGCTGCTTTGAGACTTTGTACACCAGGGTCCGACTTGGATCCCCCGCTTCCTGAAACTGTATTGTCCACAATGTACATGCCATAAACAACGTGATTTCCTGGTGAAAAGTTGTCTCTCGTTAAATTATCGAGAATTTGTCCTGCAATCTTTTCTGCATTTGGTAAAGGAATTTGGTCAGCATGAGTGCAGACCATAAAGACTGGAGAGCCACGTTTCAGAGTTGAATTAGCAGCAACCAATGATAGCCAGAATTCCAAATGATCCATATTGGTCATAGGACAATGATCGTCTAGAGTTTCTTCTACTGCTCCATGTCTCACCATAGGAGTCGCTTGAGAGTGCAAGTCGTTTTCTAAGTTATGGACAAGAAGAAAGATCCCCTTCGGGGGAAGGAACACTGGGTGCGTGACACTGTAGACTGGTTGTCCTGCAAAGTCCATGGTGTGTAAAAATAGATCATTTTCCATTTGCTTTGCAGATTCAGGGTTTTCTAGAATATTCTTGGCGCATATTGCAACTTGCTCTGGAAGCTGTTTTGATTGGAGCTCACCAGTATGACTCTTTTCGAAATCTTCTTGTGCGATTTCTTCGTTATTCATTTCATAATTCTCTTTAAATTTGAGATCTTTGTCCTCTTCTGAAGATGTTTCTAAGCTGCTGCTTACGAAGTTATCTGATGTGGAGTTTTCATTGTACAATTCGTATTCATTGTTATCATCGTTGTCCTCATCATCAGAATCCATGGAATCTGGCCTCAGCAAGTGTGGTATCATTGCTCTTGCAGCACATTGATTGTAAACTGTGTGTTCGTCAGTGTTGGTTTTGTGCCAGTCGTCATCTTCTGCCTTGGATAGTGATCGCTGCAGTTCTGCACCTATGGTGCTGTCTTCCGAAGGGTTGAATTTCTCTCCTATAGCGAAGTGAAAGCACAAAGAATGAGACTGTTGCCAAGCGAATAGATAGATAGCTACAATTCTGGACAAAAAGGTTGAGAATAACTCACCCTTCGGTCAGTTCAACAAAACATGCTCTCTACCTCCTCCCCTTCCCCAAAACAATGTTGTTAGCACTCAAACAGAATTCAGAAGGTATGTGAGCTCTCTAAAGTACAACTTTGAGCG